GCTGTCCTCTGAAGATGCCGGCCACAGAGACTGGCGAAACGTTAGGAAGAACAACCTTCAGAACACAGCCAAAGAGCCTGACAAACCCACAACAACCACTCAGTCACATTGTTTGTGTGTAGCCATTAATAGAAATCCCTCCACCACCAAAAAGGTTTGTAAGTTTAGTGTTTGGTATAGTAAAAGGGGATGATACATGAGAAACTGCCTTTCCCCTTATAAAGCCATTTGGTCCTTGCGCGTATCCAAAGAAGATACAGCTTTCTGGTTTCATATGATCCTGAGGGCTGTTCCACATTCTTTCTAAGAAGAGTATTTAGTGTGATTGTATCCACCGTCTGGATTACCCTTGAGTGGGTAATTAGACATGTCCTGACAAGTGTGCTCTGTGTATACATGCTATTAGACATGTCCTGACAAGTGTGCTCTGTGTATACATGCCAACTCAACTAGACAAATGAAATTCTGTTGAAAGAGTAAGCATTATATCCAGAGACTCAGAGCCACTACAACTATATTCAGATTTCTAGCAAGAAAATACTTTGATGTAACTGCTGTGTGTGTTTGGCAGTAAAGTATATATTACAAGGAGAGACACTAAATATTATTGTTTTCTAATGCAGGAGAAATTCACGTGGATAGCAAGAATGTGCTGCAGCATTTAAAAGGTAAAGTAACTGGTTGTTGTCCAAAATATAATCCAAGATCAACTTAATTGACAACAGAGCAGGCAAACAAGGAGGAAGTGCAGGCTCTTCTAAGGCAGGGCATGGAGAATATGTACACAGAAGCAAACATCAAGGAATAGCTCTGATTTTTAGCTTTGTGGGACAGTTCCTCCCCTACCTCTCGTGACAAAGGATTAAATTGCTTGAACAGCCTCATCAAATGAACTAATTCACGGTAAATTGGTGAAACAGCTCTTGTTCAAATAATGTTTGCCTGTACATGCATTTAAAAAAGGCTGAGATGTCCCATTAGCTCTTATTTTCAGGGCAAGGTCACAAGTAAAGCAGAATGGTGAACGCACATAACTGCATCTAAAGATATGTGGCCGCTCACCTTTGAAACAAAGTTGTCAAAGTGAAAATGGAAACAGGAGATAGTTTACAAAACTGAGTAACTGTATTTCAAGATTTGACTAAGTAGCAGTAGAATTAAGAAAACAAAAACCCTGGAGTACTGATTTTGTAATATATTAGGAGTTGGTGGGCAAGGGCGAATACTGTAGGAATAATGTTTGGAGCTGCAGTTCAGTATGAGTTCCACTGATGGTGTCTTCAAAACAGGTGTCGCCTTTTAAAAACAAATTGACAGTCATAGATTTTGAGGCAACCGTTTTAGAAGCAGATTGCAGACTTTTGAATGAACTGTAAAACTGTTAATGTAAATTTATCTTAGATGAAAATATTTTAATGAAAATGTTGACTGCATGTTTTCTGAAACCTTGTTTGTAAATAAACTGTATGCTGTACTTTAATGCAATTTAAAATGTATGTTTTAAATTATCTTCAAATTATAGATGGGCAGCAAAACATCACAGAAACAGATGCCATGGACGAAAGGTAAAGTTCTTTGTTGTGACACAATAGCTGACAACAGAAGGCAGTGGAAAGAGGGAAATATCTTTGTAATATGTTCTGTGTGGGGCTGCCAATGAAAACTGTCACAAAACTTCAGCGGGTCCAAAATACAGCAGCCAGATGGCTAACTGGGGCTGGTCACAGGAATCACATAAACCCCTGTGTTACAGCAGCTTCACTGACTGCTGACCTGTTTCCAGGCGCAATTCAAAGTGTTGGTTTTAACCGGCCTGGGTCCAAGCTATCTCAAAGACAGTATCTCCCTTTATGAGCCAGCTCGGGTGTTAAGATCATCAGGAGAGGCCATTCTCTTGGTCCCACCAAGGTGCATCTGATGGGAACATGGGAGAGGGCATTCTCTGTTGCTGCTCCCAGACTCTGGAACTCCCTGCCACAGGAAGTCAGACTGGCCCCATCTTTGCAGTTCTTCCACAAGTAGACAAAGACCTTTCTTTTCAGGCAAACCTTCCTTCAGTAACTAGCAACCTGTTGTGTGAGTTTTAGGTGGATTGTTATGCATTATTACTGCTTTAACTGAATTTTTAGTACTACTTGTGTTTTCCATTTCTCAGAGTGGCATTTTTAAAAATATTTGTATATTTATTGTTCTTAGCTTTAATATTACCTCTTAATGATGTAAGATGCCTCTTTATAGTCATCCTTCTTAGCTTTAAATATTGTCTTTTAATGATGTTAACCACTGTTGTATTGTTTTCAACTTTAAATGTTTTATTTCAATGTTGTAAGCCGCCTTGGGTCCTTTTCAAGGAAAAAGGCAGGGTAAAAATATTTTAAATAAATAAATGAGAAGAGGCAAATTCCCATATCTCATGCTTATTGCTATAACAGCCACATGCCAGTCTTGTGAGATACAGCTGCAGTTAGAGATGGGGGTATTCGTATACGAATATCCCTGCACAGGTGGCATTAATGAGGGTCCAGCCCCATGGGGGCTGAGAGTCCACTCATTGATCCATTGCAGACGCGGACAGCACGATTCTACAAATGGTGCCACAGCGTGCAATCTGCTCGCCACTCTTCAGCCTTGCAGCAAGGATTGTCCTTCCACCTCCTGCCAGGAGTAGTGAGCGGATTGCACACTGCAGAGCCATTTGTAGAATTGCACAGTCCACATCTGTGGTGGAGCAGTGAGTGGACCATTGGGCCCCATGGGGCTGGACCCTCGTTAATGCCACCTGTGTGGGGATATTCGTACACGAATACCCCCATCTCTACTCACAATACAAAAGTAAAAGTTGTAAGAGTGATCAGAACTGTGTCTGGTTGCAGAATTACAGTTTTCTATCAATATCGATTTTCTCCATTGGACTAGTTAATTCAGTCTAATACAGAAATACTATTTGTTTTTGAAAATCCACTGTGTTTCAAAAGCAGTTTCATATATAAATTTGGAAACTGGTGTTTTAGAAACATGGCCATCTAAAGTCTCTTTGGGCATGCACAGCTAGCTTAGTGGTTAAGTATGAGTCCTAGCCATCAATTTATATGAGCACATTCAGCAGCTTTATGTGTGTGAATGAAAGAGAGAAAGAGACTATATTAATTTGTATGTTCTGTATTTGTAGAATCAAACAGCTCTTTGACCCAGCATCAGAATACAAAATGAACCATAAGAGAAGAGGACTTGCTCTCATCTTCAATCATGAGCGTTTTTATTGGCATTTAATGTTACCAGAGAGACGTGGCACCCTTGCTGACAGAGAAAACCTGAAACGCAGGTGAAATGACCTCAATTTTGTTTTCTAAAATTATTACTTTTTACCAGTAAGAAAAGGAAATCAGTTCAGTTTCATGTTACTCATAAAACAAGAAAGGCCTGGAGTAAGCTTTGAAAAAACAAAAAATTGTGAAGTCCCTATTCAAATGTTATCTCAGTTCTGAACTTGATGATTTACCTTACATAAGCTTGTTTTCACTGAGGTCTTCCATGATTTGTTCACTGAATAAATCAACCTCTGTACAGGCTACCCAAACAGTCTCATCTCCACAAAACCTATTCCTTGCTTCTTTTCCTGTTATTTCTATTGTGGTTTTCATGTATCTACAAGGGAAGAAACTGGTCAGTTGTTAGTGTCCCACTCATTTCTAAAGCTGAACATTTAGAGAGATTAATCAAAGTGGTAACATTTGTAGGATACCCTAAATAGGATGCTAGAATGAAATACTGTTCTGTTTGTAACAGCTTGTCAGGGCTTGGATTTGAAGTAAAATGCTTTGATGATCTGAAAGCAGAAGATGTGTTGCAGAACATTTACAATGGTAAGTGGCTCTACTGTATATGCTTAAATATTTTCAGCTATAATTGTGCCACAGCTTTGCTAGCAAACATTTGGCATTCTTGATAAATTCTTCCAGAATATGGGAGGAGATTCTTTTTTGCCATCAGAAGATTTGCTCGACATCCTTGCTGAAGCTGAACCAGTGTAAAAACAGAATTGACAAATTTATTGCTGAAAACATTTTCTGTATTTATTAAATGCTACTGTTGATTACTTATTCTCAAGAGCTTTAGTGAATATCATGGAACTGATCTGAAATGCAGCTCCAGCTAGAATGCTGCTAGTTAGGTTTAGAAAAATTGTGAAGGATAGATGATAGCTCTTGCATTTAAGGTTTACTTGATTCTAGGATTTGATGTCTGTGCAAGCTTATCAGGCAATAAACAAAACAAACCAAAAGCAAAAACTAATAAAGAAAAAAATAAGGAAGACAAAAAACATTGTTGCACGATAAAGACTAACTGCTATCGTTTAATGTGAGCTTTTGTGGACAAGTCCACTTCCTCCGACATAACAACAAGACTGCATGGCAAATATTTATAGATTTATATATGGCCGAAAAATAAAGAGATGGTGGTTGAATGTATTCGCGAAGGCTTTCACGGCCGGGATCTAATGGTTGTTGTGGGTTTTTCGGGCTTCTTGGCCGTGTTCTGAAGGTGGTTTTTCCTAATGTTTCGCCAGTCTCTGTGGCCAGCATCTTCAGAGGACAGCAAACTGTGCTCTGGTGTAGTTTGGCTAGGGCGTGGAGTATTTATGGCTGTGAGTTGGGATGATTAGTGTGTATTGTTGTGGGTGTATTGTTTTCTGTGGATGGGTGATTAGTGTGTTTTATTGTGGGTGTATTGTTGTGATAAGGAGATTATCTGTCACTGTGGTTGATGGTGGTGATCCCCTTGACCTTGTTGGTTGGGTATCCATCCAACATTATTCAGTTTTGGCCTGGAACTGTTTCTGTGGCAAACCCCCAGGTACTTGGGTTGCTGGAAAATACAGTTGTCTTAAGCCATCAAATCCTTAGTACTAATTTTTAGATTATCTGGAAATGAGAGGTCCCTGAGGTCCTGATTTGCAGACAGGGAAAGAACAGTCGTTGTGGTGGCACTGTGGTTGCCAAATAACCAATTCAAAGAACACCGCTTAATGGCTTCATTGTAATGTCTTCAGCCTATGGCGAATATGGTTTTATATATTAAACAATTTGTGATTTTAAAATATGAGTTGGTATTTACTGTCGTGGCAATATATTTATGCTGAGAAGGACAAGAGTTTAAAATGTTTTTACACTATTGATTTGGTGTAATTCTGTACTTTGTTTTTCTATCTTACTTTCTGGGTGGCTTGCATGGATTACTGGGCAAGCTATAGAATAATTGTGTGCCATGATTTTGACTTACAGTGACTCTTTATTAGGTTCTCCTAGGTAGTGAGTACTCAGAAGTGGTTTACCATTCCCTTCTTCTGGGGGCGCCCTGGAATTGTGCAACTTGCCCTTGACGACACAGGCAGGCTGTTTTCCCAACCTCTAGCCCCACAGCCAGATACCAAAGCCACTAAGCTCTGTAGCCAGCTAGGCTATATAAATACAGTTAAATAAACAAACAAGCATCTACTGTAAGGCGATAGGCTTCTCCGAAAGGGTCTTGAGCAAGCTGCTCATATTTTGTCATCAGAAGGTGGGTAAATAAGAGGAAGAGGGGGCAGCAAGGCAGGGGATATGTGGGTCCCTGCAATGAGGGGTCATGGGAAGGTGTTTGTGATAGTGCATTGGGGTCCAGTAATGTCACTGGGAGCAAAATGGGGTTCAAACCTTTGAACCAAAATTTCTTTCAGGATAGGATAAAATAACTTTGGCCAGTCAGCCCAGTCCCTAGATTAGCCAACATAAGTTAATACATCTTTGCTCTACCTGCCACTGATATCAGAGTGACTTACTAATTTTCATTGAAGTACAATTTTGTTGCCTTGGCAGTGTCCACAGCCCAACATGATGATGCAGATTGCTTTGTATGTGTTTTCCTAAGCCATGGAGAAGATGACCATGTTTATGCCTATGATGCCAAAATTGAGATACAAACATTGACCAACATGTTTCGAGGAGACAAATGCCCAAGTCTTGTAGGGAAGCCAAAAATATTTATAATTCAGGTGAGAAATGGTACTCTTGGATTCCTGTATTTTGACTGAGATGAAAACCAGATTTATTGAGAGAGAGAAAGAGAGAGAATCATTGAGAGCAATAGGTTTAATTGCAAAAATGAGCAAGTAAAACAGAAATCATCATAATTTGTTTTGGTAACATGGAGACTGGCGAGAATTTTATCAGCTATACTGATCAGAGTAATTTAATGCTTGTTCACGTAGGCATTTTTGTCCCATTGTTTAGTGTCTTGCCGGGACAGACTGATTTGCTCTGTTTTTCTGGCCACACAGTGTAATCACTGGAGCAGACCAATTTGCCCTCAGAGCACCCCAATCTGTACCTTTTTGAGCCCCTCTCCAGTGTTTTTACTTTTTTGTGGCGGTTTTGTGCTTTTGTTTTGTGCACATTCCCAGCATGTGCAATCACTGGAAATGGACTAAAACTGAGCCTCCAGCTGTTATATCTGCCAAGGCTCCTTCCAGTTTCAATTTCCAATACTGTATCATGAAGTGGCTTAATAAGTGAGCCACTTCAGGATATTGACAGATTGAACACTTCTCATGCTCCTCTTCAGAGAGGCAGGGGAAATGAAGTTATTATTTAGTTTTTGTTTTGTTTTTACTCCGCAAACCATCATTGTGCTGAGTTGCTTGAATTATTATTATTTTTTAAAGAAATATTTGCTTTTATGTGAAATGCCGATTCAGACTGTGGCTATGGGGAGTTTCTTGATTGGCACTATACACAAAGATTGTATTTAAAGAAAATTTAATCTAAGTGATCCGGTGCATCGGTGATGATCTAGCAGAGGCAAAAATAATTTCACTTCCCCTGCCCCTCCTCTGAGGGTTCATAGTAGAAGTGCAGTTGATAGTAGAAGGAACCGGAGGGTCACCCGAGACCGATATGCCATTCGGACATGAGGATGGCACCAAATGGCATATGGTTCCTTCTCCCTACCTCAAGAAACCCTAATTAGACTGCACTAGCCTGCACCAAAAAAGGGCGAGTGTGGTCCCCATCCAAAATTGGCAAATTAAGTAGCAAATTAAGAAATTAGCTTAACCATTTACTGTTGCTTGCCTAATGTTAAGCTGCAAGTTTGCCTATGACATTTTTGCTGACTGGGTTACAGTGGCACAAGTATGTAATAGGATTCTGGCCAGTGTGTCTTCAAGTTTTATATTTTCTCATATGTCATAGAGCCAACTTGGATTGTGTTCTAAGACTTGCCTTATTCATCAGAGCATCTGCTTGATATGAAATGTAAAAGCTACCCTCTTTTTGGAAATAAACCCAAAGTAAAGAAACTTTCCCATGTTTATTGGCTTTTTGCATTAAGATATGCCACTAAAAAGTAAAACAGTAACAAATAAAAGGCAATCCATTCTAGTAAGAGGTACATCAACGAACAGAGAATTCTACTAGATCTGGTTTTTTAAGAGTTTTGTTCAACTCAGTTACTTGATTTCCAACACTTGTTTTTCCTGGTACTAGGCATGCAGAGGAGATAAGCACGATGACCCTGTCATAGCTCATGATACTGTGGATAGCAGAGAAGAATCCAGTATCAATGAAACCACAGTAGATGCAGCTGCAGTATATACCTTACCTGCTGGGGCAGACTTCCTCATGTGTTATTCTGTAGCAGAAGGTAAAATTATGTTTTATATTTTTATTGACCTTTAATGATTAATTGAAAGAAGCATTTACCTTACCCACAACGTGGGAGACTACAGATATGAGTGTGGCATCACAGGTGCTACAGCAGACCCTTCCTGTGCCCCTGAACCAGCCTGGTCCATTCATTGGGCTCCTCACAGCACACAGGCCCGACTCTGGTGACTTTGTGCCACTCACAGAAGTAGTCCTGCAGATGCTTCCCTGACTCTCCCCACAGCTGACCGCTCAGCAGCTGAGCGGGAGACTCATTTTCCCACCTCCTCCCATGTCTAAGAGGCAGTTTAAAGAAATGTGTTTTTTTGTATTCCTATATTGCTTTGATGTACAGAAATGCATATTATATTTCTTATATCAGTATGCATAAATACAGCTTTTAATTCTTCAGTGGTTTGCAGTGTTAAGACTTGGCAGATTATGTATGAAGACTTACATGGGCCAAAGCTGAAGAAAGTTGGTGCTTTGATTCCTTTACCAGAGATACTGACACCTTCTTTTTGAGATAATCAAGAAATTGCTTGGGGGAAAATAAGGTTTTCAGTTGTTCTCCCCACTGTTGGTTTCTAGTGGTCTCCATTTCTTGGTACTGGTCTGCTACAGTGTGTATTTGTTAAATGTAATAATGTAAGTAGTTATTTTAGTAGTTACTTGTTCTTAGTAATTCATGCTCTGGGGAATAAATCTTTCAGTTGTCCTAAATCAGTAACTTAGACTTGTTATCATCAATGTTGCTTATGGCAGGTTAAAAATACTGACTGCAGATTGAACATTAAGGATTACCTTCTACTTCTTTCTCTCCCAACAGGGTACTATTCTCATCGTGAAACTGTGAATGGTTCTTGGTACATTCAAGACCTGTGTGAGATGATAAGGCGATATGGCTCTTCTTTGGAGTTCATAGAGTTACTGACACTTGTTAACAGGAAGGTATCTCACCGCAAAGTGGATGTGTGCAAAGATATTCATGCACTCGGTAAAAAACAGATTCCTTGCTTTGCATCAATGTTAACTAAGAAGTTGCATTTCCGCCCCAAATCTTAAATAGTGTAGGGTGTGGCAGTTAAGACATCAATCTTGTTTATTCATTTGTTTTGTCGGTTTTTGCTGTAGGAGACATATTAAGTCAAATATACAACTTGCTTGAATTATGGATTTAGGACTAAATGTAGTGTTAGCTCCGACTACAGTAGTGTGAGTTAAAAAAAAGGGATTTGTCAGCCACAAGTAGCATAAATTTGATTGATGTCATTTTAGGCGGTGACTAACACTGGATTTTGTTCTTAGGCTGCAGTTTTATATGCACTTACTTGGAAGTAAGCCCTATTGAATTTATTTGGGTTTACTTGAGTGGACACATTGAAGTATGCTAGGAAGTGTTCAGTTAATTGTTTTTAGTTTGCTTGCCTCACCGTAGATTTTTAGTCAACTTAGCTTATTTCTAAAGTAGAAATGTTCATGGCAGGCCCATGCAGTATAATTAGAAGTAGCAGAGAGGCTTTTTAAAAATGCTGTCAAGTACTGAAAAGAACTTTTGAAATCTGAAACAATTTTCTCAAAATGCAAATAGAAATCCAAAATAAACTTTTATATTGACAAAACTTCCATGAAATTTAACATTTAAGTATTTGATACACTGCATCTAAAAGGAAATGAACATTAAGATGGACTCAGGGAAGTTTAGAAAATCAAGTCAAATAAAGGAACCATTGGCCAATTTTTTTTACTATATTAAAGGTTCCACTAAGCTACTATTTGTATCCCATTTTGTAATTGAGATTTTGTACTTTTAGGAGTTTTCAGTAGTTTGTCTTTTACATACTAGAACTAAGTGGGTGACTATTTCCTTAATCTGCTGTATGGTACAGACTTCACCCCTTATTTAACCATTGCTAACTGCCTTCTCAGTACAGTCACAGATTCATCACTGACATTCTTATGACTGGATAGAGCAAGCATAATAGCACCAGCCATCATAGGAGCTAACTTGACCTAACTCAGGCAGTATCCAATGGTGTTTTCGTAGATGTCTGAGACATACACTACAGTATTCTGGCTTTCTTTATGCCTCTAGTTTCCCTGGACTTAACTGCTGGCCTAATGCTCAAGAAGATTATTCCATTACATACTTGTTGTCCTGTGGAGTTCACTGTTTTAAATTAAGATACTGCTGGACATTTTGTTTGTGGTATGTTATAAATCATCACTGTCTATGGAAAAGTTTATGTATGCGTAGATAATTGGATTATTATGAGAGACATTTTGCTTAAGACAAAGATGACCCATAGCCAAAACTGTAATACATTTTTTTATTTATCTTATTGTGAAGATACTTTCCAATCAAGGAGATCCCGGAGTAAAACAAAACAAAACAAAAATCAGTTTTTGTCTCCTTCTTGATGAAAAATAGGGTGGAAATCCACAATAAGACACTATTTGTTCTTTCTATTTTGAACAGGTTGCTCTCAAAATATAGACCTTTTTTTTTTTGTAAAACAAATACGCAAACGAAAAATCCTAATTATCAGAAAAAGTTTTAAGTCCAATATATATTGCAGGAGTTTTTCCTACTACCAGTTATAAAAAAGACTCTGTCCAAAATATCCAGTTTCTAATCTTTTGAGGAAGCTCAAGGGGGCTAATACAGCTAAAAGTGCATGAAAAATTAATGTTTTTCATTTATTTCTTCCATTGGAAGGCGCAATTTTAAGGGGTTCTTCAGTCGTTTTAAGGATTCTTCCACCTATTGGTGTGAGAAAAGAATAAAAATTGGTAAGCATCTGCTGTTCAAATTCTTCTGCTCTTCCTTTGCCAAGCTTCTGGTGGTGGGCACTCTGAACTTGGAACACACAGCAAGTGTCGAATTCTCACCCTTGTGTTAAGAGTCCTCATGACCCCTAACACAAGGCAAGACATTTTTAAAGAGAAACTCAGCCTGTGTGAAGGTAATCAGTCCTTGCCCTTCTGGATTATCCCTGCACTTTCATCCAGAAATTATTTCCCCACTCCCCAAGGCCTTTAGATTTGAAATAACCCTGACACAGTAAAGAACTGACAGGAATAATCTTGAGTGGAGGTAGATTAAAGATGTATTTTCAGATTAGTTTTGAAAAGGTAAGTGGAAACAACAACAGGAAGTAAAAAATCATAAAAACCATGGTTCTCAGCATTTCAAAATTTTCTTCCCATTATTCAATCTTCAAAGAACCTGGGCCCCACTGTGACAAAAAACCAAAAGCCCACTTTTCCTCAAGAAAAATGGTTTCAGGCAGCTAGTTATTATATTATTCATCATAAACTGATAGGCAAAATGAAATGTCTGATTAAGGAGAAAAACCCTGCAGTGTCTATTGTTATTACTAGCTGGCCAAAAGGTGACAGATGGATAATGCATGACCAGTTGAGTTAATAAGAGATTATATGTGGTACCTGCAGGAGGATATGGAGATCAAGGGGAGAGCAGGTTCTTGGTAATTATTATAAAACTCTGTATCCCACCAAGACTATTTCTATGTCTCAGGGGTGTGGTAAATGTAAATGTAGCTATCCTACAGCACAGTGGCACTGAATAATCACTTGTTTTGGAACTGTGTTCAGCTAGCTACAACAGAATTCTGGCATTCACATTGCAAGCAAATGCTCCAATATGGCACACATTCTAGACAACAATGATAGTAGCCACTGGCAAGCAGGACCATCTTTGGGTGCAACTTAGACTGAACCCTTTTTGAGGGTGGTTGACAATTCCTCGCCAATTTGCAGGGATGGTAGTGGTAAAAGCAGGCTGCTCCTTATGATTTGGTCCTTTAAAGATGAATGCAAGCTATAATTGTAGAGTAGTACTCAAGCCAGTAATTCTCAGTAGTCTAGGAAGGTTTGAGTGGGAACTGGAATGGTAGGGCCAACAATATTAATTTTTGTTTAAAATCCTACTAAAGTGGTTGCCATTAGCTTCTGCAGATGGTAAGGCAAATAAGGTTTGTTTATTTTGGAGCTGGAGTGTTTCCCATTTCTCATCCCCTTGACACTAATCACAGCTGCTGTGGCAGATGGAAAGGGAAGATGAGCCCATTATTGCAACATAAGACAATTTATTCTGTTCCCTTCAAGAGTCTGTCATTATGCATTTTGAAATTCAGCTTTTAAAACACAGCCTATATATATTCAGCAGGACATAGCTGTTTTCTATGTGTTACATTTTCTTAGGGAAGGGAAGGAATGATGTTGGTAAATCAAAAGCACAAAACTTGTAAGACAACATCTGAAATGGGATGTAAATGAAAGCGTCATCTTCACTGAAATTGTATTACAAAACTACCTGTGCAAGATCTTCTTTTAACTTATTATACTGATCCACGTTGAACTTCTGGCTTTTGGATTTCTGGTGGAAATAGTGGAGGAATTGCCTGTCACGAACTTCTGGATAAACATAATCCTGGGCAGAGAAAGAGATGCAGAAAGAAATAATACAAATTGCCTTATCATCCACAACATGATTTGTACATATTTGCTGTCAGTTGTAGTAGTAAGGAACTATGAAAACTTCATGAATTTACTGTTCTAATGAAGTCATGTTAATGAAACAACATATAATGCACCATGTAAAATGGAGTATGTAGATACTTGTGACTAACTTCAACAATACACTATGAGGCATCCTCTTGAGAAAGGTGCTGAACAGGTAAAATGCATGTAGGAGCCTCGTGGTGCAGTGGTTAAACCGCTGTACTGCAGCTAAAACTGTGCTCACGACCTGGGGTTCAAATCCCAGGTAGCCGGCTCAAGGTTGACTCAGCCTTCTATCCTTCCGATGTCGGTAAAATGAGTACCCAGCTCGCTGGGGGGGGGCAATGCGTAGCCTGCATAATTAAATTGTAAACTGCCCAGAGAGTGCTTGAAGCCCTATGGGGCGGTATATAAGCAGCACGCTTTAATATGCGGCACTTCTGTAAAATGTGGCACTTCTTGCTTGATTTTGATTTGATAGCCAAGAAACAGCAAAGATAGCTAGAGACTTTACAGGCCTAGGAAGTCACGTTCAGTAGTGCCCCTAATATTACAAGGAGCTTGTGGAACTTAGTAAAAGACTAACTTCCAGTCAAGTGCCTAGGCATCCCTGTCAGGACACTTGAAAAGAAACCTAACAAATGTACCTCTGCACAACTTTGACATATTATCATAAACATTCCAGTATATATTACTGTTCCAGATATGCTGGCTCAAGTGAGACTCACCTGCTTAGTAAGTACAAAGTAAGCATAGAATGCCATGGCACTTCCATAGGTGATAAAATATGTGACAGGCTCCATGATATCCCAAGAATACACCCACCAAGTGAGCCAAGCGAGGGCTCCGCCCTGAGTTGACATGAAGGCTAAGCCAATCCATAGAAGACGAGAAGTCTTGGCATCAGCATTTGTATAAATTCTATGTTTCATCTAGGAAAATAAAAAACACATTACATGTCAGAGACCAGGCTGCTGAAACATGATTCTCTTCTATAACTATGTATTCAGATGTGTATTAAGCGACTGCCTTTCCAAGAGAGATTCTGAAGTTCCTCCTCTCATATTCTAATCATGACCTGGTAGAAGATTGGAGAAACATCAGATGATGAAGTTAGTACTCTGATATTTGGAGATACTGTTTTCAGGGAGCTATCTCACTGCAGAAACTAGACAGGTTTCAATCTTTTGAACACTGTCCAGAATCCTGTTGGTTAGTTATGCCAGTAAAGTGTGACAGCAATTCAGTTACAATTTATATCATTGCATTTGTGCCAGTGTAACTAACTAACTGAATTCCAGCCACTGTTGCTCAGTCTCCTAACCAATTTTTGAGAAGAATGCTTGGCTTGGTAGACCTTGCTTTCTCTGACCCAGTAAGCCAATTCAAAAATCCTATCCATGTATCTGGTTAAAAACTCAGTAAGCTGAACCCAATTACCACAATATGGAATTATTTAAAATATTTTCCAAACCTGTTCTAGAGGCAGCAGTTCTTCTCTCATAAGTTCTATTTTTTTCATTAATTCTTTCTCCTTCCTTCTCTGATGATCTTCTAAATGAAGTGCTGTAAATAATCTATGAACTGTAGACTTGATGTCATCTAACTCAGTAGCATGCTCTGTGCTGAGTTTATCTGAAGGAAGAATGAAACGAGTCATTATGCCAAAGCAAGTTCTGCAGTCCTCAGCCACAAGACACCCCTCAAAATTTTTCCATCTGTCGCTATTTAACCCCTAATCCAGGTCAGAAGAGAGCAAACTGAGCAAAGTTATGCAAAAATAAGAACACCTGCATTTCAACTGGTATCTTTAATTTAAGAGTAGAGAAATTAAGTCAAACTTTCTTGGCAAAATGAAGTAACAGCACTAAACATAATAGATAGTACTAAAGCATAGCCCTTCGTTTTAAAACAGCCAGCGTTTCAAAGCTTAATTGTTTATAAGATAATAGGCCAAAATCCTATTGTTGATGTAGTGCAAATGGCATTAGCTCCTGACGCTGAGATGCTACAATTACAAAGTCAGTGCAAACAGCTTATTTTTGCACACTGGTTTCAGTGACCTGGTAATATCTATGCTAATTTCATAACTTGTGGCAACTCACCTCCAAACATTATGCAATTTTAGTTATGCTCACAAGTGAAAATAATAGGATTTTGGCTGCTGAAAATGTAAATTAGCTGTAGTATTTAAGATTGTAGTCTTAATACATTCATCTGACAGTAAGCCTCGCTGAACTCAAGTGATTAACATCCAAGTAGACATGCTCAACACTGTGATATAAATTTACATTTTTGAAAAGACAGACAGTAAGCTTTAATTAATAATTCAATAAGCATACATCTTCAAACCTTTTTGAGATGATCATGCAATTCCATACCTTTTTGTGGGGGATGTACACTATATTCTATACCATTGATTACAAGTTTAAAGTCATTCATCAACAAAACTTCCATCAACGCTGAAGTTGAAATCATGGTGCCGTCTGCAAGAGAAAACAAATACCTCAATAAAATATGATACTGATTTTTTGTAAGTATCACTGGTGTTCTGATCACAGCCAAAGAAATTGAATAAATCCACAGTTTAGTACATCAACATCAACTGGAATATGATTGGCCTGACAGCCCCATGTCTAGTTGCTTCTGAGTCTTCATAGTGCCCAGTGAAATGTTATGCAAATGTCAGAATCCTATTACTTACATGTACTGGTGTTAAATCAGGTTGTGTAATTGGTACAATGAAGTTCTGCAGAAGTCAAAGCTTGTATTCCTCATCATGGACTAGTTGTGCCACTTGACACATGACAAGAAATGTAAGTGTCAACTTCTTAACCAATTTGCCAAAGTGATTTACACCATTTGACTTGTGCCAGCATATGTAACAGGATTCTTACCAACATCTTTTAGACTGCTACTTAACTGGGCATTTATCTGACTGGATAGATACATGGTCTGATGTAAGGAGCAATGCATAAATCAAGTCATTCCTTAGTTGTTGTGTCTTATAAGAACACCAATTAGGTTGCTGTCATGTTCACACAAAACCTGATGGATTAGGACTCATAAGAACTGGGTTCAAATCTATGCTTGGCCATGAAAACTCACTGGGTGGGAGGCTGGTAAAGCCGCTCTCTAAATTTCTTACTTGCCCTGAAAACCCTATTAGGGTTGCTATAAGTTGGTCCTGACTTGATGACACATAACACACATAACATGTGTGCACTGTATCTGAGCTAAATTTATGATTAGGTGGCATCTCGGATCCAAGAAGGAGATTCTACTTCCAGTAGAAGTATTTCCTATCACTGGGCAACCAGATCTTTTTAACTGGGTTGAACCAAGCATTTGTTACATGCAAGGTGTTTTCTCTGTCACTGAATGTTGGCTGTTTGCCCCAAAGAAAACAACAACTTTGCTAATACTGCTTTAGATTAGCTCAACAGAGAATGTACTAAAATACTAAACCACCCGTTTGGAACTTCTGGCTTGTATCTCTGAGTTATCTTTATCCAAACTGGATGTGCTACAGGCAAATCCATACTGGCATTTCCTGATTGGAATTCTGTCAACTGGACTCATGCTGGGCTTCTGATAAGAGAAGCTGGAAAGCAAGTATAGCAGTTTTCTTTTCTAAATGTAATCATTTAGAAGGCAAGAAATAATTAAACATTTATATGTATGAAATATTTCATTTCCTTGTCTGTTTTGTTCAACAGCAAATCCTTCTCAAACAAAAATGCTTTAGCAGAAAAATGCTGACATGTGGAAATGCAACAGAGATGCAATATTCTAATAAAAACATAATCTAGGTCTAGGAAATAAAAGGTCAGAGTAACATATCTGAACAGAAATAATTACTGGAGGCATCATATAGAATCTCTTCTGCACCTGTTGCAGTGTTAAATTCATTTGTCCTAAAGCTTAAAAGAGGGTGAAGAGGTAATGATATGTGTAACCATAATTTATCTTCAGCAAGAGAATGTTCTATTTAATGATGCAGGTGCATAACTCCCAACCAGACATATACTGCCAGCTCATTAAAAATGCAGAACAGAAAATAAAGGAAATCTGCAAATATGTCAAGAATGATCGTGTCTGATGATCTCTTAAATCACCATCAAACCCATTTTTATCCTTTCTTGTAGCAGACTTGTGTGTAGTTCTCAAAGAGATTTTGTGGATCCCACAGGCTACAGTTAAAATCTTTTCAGAACCACTTTTAATTTTTTGAAGAACTAGGTTTTAAAACATATTGGAAGAACTGTTACAAATAAGGTTTCCATCTGCAGGGAGTTAAAATGTTTTAGGCATTCTGGTGTTGAAAAAAAGAAAAAAGTTGCACTACATAGATTTATCTGATTTTTTTAAGGTAAATGTAAAGGTTCCCCTTGACAATTTTTGGCCAGTCGTGTTCGACTCTAGGGGGCGGTGCTCATCCCCGTTTCCAAGCCATAGAGCCAGTGTTTTGTCCGAAGACAATCTTCCGTGGTCACATGGCCAGTACGACTTAGACACGGAACGCTGTTACCTTCCCACCGAGGTGGTTCCTATTTATCTACTTGCATTTACATGCTTTTGAACTGCTAAGTCAGCGGGAGCTGGGACAAGCGATGGGCGCTCACTCCATCGTGTGGATTCGATCTTATGACTGCTGGTCTTCTGACCCTACAGCACAGGCTTCTGTGGTTTAGCCCGCAGCGCCACCACGTCCCATTTTTTTAAATTATTATTTTATTTATTATTACAGGCTTGAGGGAAAGACTGTATTTTAAGCAAGACCCTTGGTGTCCCTCATTCAATACTTCCATTTTTTTCCTTTCTGCTACTGCTTGGTCCTTCTGGTAGAGAGTTAATCCATGAGTGGCAAGGAAATACCGCTGCAGTTATAACCAAGAGTCATTAGGTGGTGACAGTGACTTTCTGAATCTAGGCCTTGGGAGGTTTCCAATCATTATCAATGCTAGCCCTGCTTGTTAGCCATGGGGAGAAATCATCCTCACCATCACCAGATAACAAAAGTTCTAAAATAACACTTTACTATGCACATAAGGAGATGGAGTTGAACTACCTTTACTTTCAAGGTGATAGCAGCACTAGTACCTGCTGTGAAGACTTCTACCTTTTCAATGGCATTATCCTCACTCTTTATATCCTGCAAGAAGTCTCCCACTGTCATGAGCATTGGCTTGACCGTAAACTGGCAGCGTTCCTTTCTTGAGGGCAATGTAAGGGTTATCACAGGCAGCCCATGTTTATAATTAACATTTACTTCTGGAAACAAAAAGAAAAGAAATGCATCTGCATTTATTTGTTATCAGATCTATAACTTTACTAACAGCTACTGAAATATGCAAGCTATATGAATTTTAGGAAGGGAAAGTCCACTGATTTTCACCCCTCCTAGAATTGATGCTAGATTTAGTACTTTAGCCTAGAGTGCCAAGGGCCTCTGGGTTTATAACAGTCAGCACATGATAGACCGTTTATGAAGCCTGAAGGCTGCAGAAGTTCTTCTCACACACTGGCAAAGACCTCCAAATGCAGTATGACGGTGCTGTGCCCAGGGAATGCATATAGATTCCAGAGTCTTGTGAACTATGGAAATTGCTGGCTGGCTGTCTCAGTGGTTTAGGCATCTGGCTGTGGAGCCAGTGGTTGGGAATTTGAATCCCCTCTCTGTCTCATGGGAGAAGAGCCAGCCTGGGTGATCTTGGGCAAGCAGCACTGTCCCAAGATGCCACCAGAAGAAGGGAATGAGAAACCACTTCTGTGCTTTCTCTACCCAAAAACCCTGGAAAGTGTCACCATCAGTGGGAATCAACTTGACAGCACACAATTAATATTAATTATGAACTATAGAAAGTGTACAACAGATGTACTATTCAACATCAACAGGAAACACCTGGGAAGCCAAAGTATCGGAAAGCTATAAAAATATACAGATTTCTAATGTTACTGCCTGTCCCTTAGCATGGCAGGACTTTATTCCTTTCCTTCTGACGGCTTCTGCACAGCCCCAAAATCTGTGCCAGGAAGCTTTCCAGAGTTCCAGAACATGTTGTTAGGATCCATAGTGTGTGCAAGAGAGAAAGAATTGCTTCTCTCTTGGTTCCAATGACAGCTATGGTTTTCCATCATCAGAATAACTGCACTGCTCTACAGATTCATCTGACACAAAAACTATAACAAGAAAGCTTACCATCAGATGGCACTGGTTTCATCTGATACAAAAACTATAACTAACAAGAAAGCTTACCATCAGATGGCACTAAAGTGCTATAAAAAGGTCTTCTGTGATGCCTTCTGTTTCCAGTAAGTCTCAGACACAGTATCTGCAAAGAAGACTGATTTGATGTTAAGAGTTTACAGCTGAGCACATTCAAGATAAGGCCTGCATTTAATCCTTCAGTTTTCTCTCTCAGAGGCCATTCTGTAAGTCAGAAGACAAGGCATCTACTTAAGATCCTTATTGCAAAACTAGTAGTTCTTCCAAAACTCTGGGTTAATGGAACAGGCAAAAGTGTCAATCATGTTACTGGAAACAGCAATTCAACAAATCTAAGACCAAAAGCTCTTGAGCCACTTTTGCTCATCAGATTTCAAAAATTCTTGAAAGTTAGTCTAAAAATAAGTGAGGAAGTTGAAAAAGTCCTAATCCATGACATGTAAAACCTGAGGTTAGCACCACAGACAAAACTGTTCTCAAAACATAGTTCTTGAAAATGAATCCAGCAGATTTACATCCAGTAGTAGAGATGGTCAACAGCAAACCTCAACGATTCAAAAGTAGAATTCTAAGTAAATTCCCCACACAAGTCTACCTCAGATGTGAACACATCCAGTAACACATTGGCTTGGATGATGCTGGCTATAGTTGGACATATCTAGAAGTATGGGGAAATGAATTATGTATATATTTGGTGGAAGGAAAAAAGAAAGCCTAAAGGCAAACAAAGCTTGTGTTTTAAATTTCCAGAGGACAATTAAACATCATAATGGTGAGGGTGCTGCTGGACTGAGACTTGAGAGAACCAGTATCCTTTTTCACAATGCTGGCCCATCGTGCCTTGAATCTACATCTGGAGACACAGGTCTCTTTTCAGACCCACCCCTCTCTATTCTCCATCCTGATTCTGTCAAACTGACAAGTGCTTGTCATAAAGAATTAGTCTGCATACCAGCATATGCAAAACATGCATACACTTGTGAAAGGGAATGAAACAAAGGCTCAGGCTTCAGTACATTTGCCCATTCCCATCCCTTTGGTTGAACTGGTGCTCTAGCAACTGATGAGTGCCCAGTGCTCTTTCCAACTTAGCAACTGTAGGACAGGGATCATCTAGGAAGATCACTAGCTGCAAATCTGGAATAAGCCTGGAACTATTTGACACCAAACAGACATACATGAATGGCCCTCCTACTTTGCAGCAAGGAAGGCATGTGGAGAATGAAACTGGGGTAAGTTTGGGCATGTTCAGTTCTTTAAAATGATCTATAGACTTGCTTCCAGACTCAGAAAAGGGTGGCGTAGACTGATGGGCAGTGAAGGCATGCCTACTACAAGCTTTGACACAGTTCAGAAAGTCAGAAATTATAGACCTTTGAAGATGAGTAGTTTTTCCAGCATCTGTGAAACTGAAACAAGTTTCCTATGAGCTATTTAAGTTTGATGGAAAAGCAAAAAAGAAAACAAAAATGACTGAGAAGTTAGCTTGCTGAAATGCCAAGACTCTCTATCTTTCCATAGACCAAAGAAGAAAACCATGCATAACATTATTCTCAGGTGTGTCTATATATCAGACATCAACAATCACCGGAACATAGCATACCAACATATGTTGCCAGTACATTAGGACCTCTGTATTTACGGGATCAGTATTCATGGTTTCATTTATCCATAGCCTGAAAATATTTTTTAAAAAAGAAAAATCAACTATTTCCCCCATGTATTACCAGAACCGGTCACTAGATGGACCCAGAGACCATGCTATGAATACTTGTGAGTGAATAATAACTAGTGGCCAGTTCTGGTAATGCATATGAAAATATTTTTTCTGCTTTTTCCCCCTTTTACCATTATATATACAGTGTTCACTATTAGCTGCATTTTTCAGTATCTACAGTGGCTTAGAAACAATCCCCAGCAGATATGGGGGTCCAAGTGTAATCTAAATCAATGGGGGAAGGATGCCAATAGACCACCTGCCTTTTATCATGTGTCTGCAAGTAAGTATTCCTAGGTTTCCTTCTTAATCTTCTGAAGTTACTTTCTATTTGTTGTTTAAAATGAGTCATCTTGTACATGGGATGTGCATAATGGCTAACAGGGCAGATTTGTGCTCATGGAGTTTCTGTTACAGCATTTTCCTTTTGCACTGTCCATTAATAGATTTCCTTGCACACTAAAACATACTTTTTCCCATCTTGCCTTAAGTATCAGTTTTCAGTATAGTTACTTCTCTTCAACAGTCACAAGCCCAGCATTAGGTTGCTGTAATCTGCTAGTATAAATATTATATAATCCCAACACATATGAGGTGGAGAGCTATATATGCATTTATTTACAGAAGTGTAGATCCACGTACATGTCGAGAAAACGGCAATGAAGCACAGTTGAAATGTAAATCCACCTTCCTTCATGGCTGATTGGTTCTAGAACTTGATGCATGTGCAATTAAATTAAATGTGAATTTCTAGGATGTTCACAGTGCTACCATGGGGCAAAAACCAGTTTGAAATAGGAGATCAAAATGAGGAAAAATGTATCCTTTCACCTATTTAGATAAACAAACTTCTCCAAAAATAATTTAAAGTGGTTAAAAAAACATTACTTCCAATCTGATCCCCTACCCAAAGCAAAGCAAAGCAAAAAAGAGCAGAATAAAACTTATTCTTGTTGCAAAATTATCAAATCCAAACAAACTAAATCAGCTTTATTCCTGCTTAAAATGAATGCTTCCTTTTAGCAGCTGCAGCCCATCATTTCTGTTTTCAGTCAATATCTAATTATCTGTGGTGCTAGTTTCCACATTCTGCTGTCAAAGAGAATACAGCTTGATCCCATTTGCTACAAATCTTTTATCATAAGCTTCAAGTGGCAATAACCCCTTTTCCAAGTAATTAATTTAATACATGAAACTGTCCAAGCCATCAGTTTCAAAGGTTTACTCCTATTCTTTGCTTGTAAAAGGACTATAATACACTGAGATGCATATGGCACATCCGTGTCTCAAATCTGATACTGTACACTCCTATACCTAAAGCAACTGTAGCACAGCTAAAAGGCTGGTGGGGTGCTGGAAATAGAATTCAAGCAACCCCCTGCTGTGCAGCAAGGCAGTGAAAGTATTTATCAAGACAACTCCCTGGTTAATGGAAAATGCTGTTTAATACAGAGGAGCTTGGTAAGCAAAACTGCAGGCGGGATGATCAATGCACAATGTCAATGAACAGCTTAACACGTCAAGCTAACTAAAACCATTTTGGCTTATATACATACTAACTCTGAATACTTATGTAACGTATGCTACTATAACAGATTAAGGAAAGGGAAAGAGAAAACTATTTATCCATTCTTGTTCCAGATCCAGACTGATTCTATCTTACCAGACATGTTTTTTGGTCAGTCATTATTGATTCTGTATTAATATAACCCCAGGCATCAGCAGCAATTTTGGCGGACCATGGAAACAGGCCCATACCACAGTTTGGAAAAGTCACTTTTTTCATATTTCTTCCAAGAATCCCCAAGCCACCAGGAGAGATTTGGGAGTCTTCCAAGCTCTGCACAATATACCACCCCTCCTCCCCCCTCCCAAAAGAAGGGGGAAATCCATTCATGGACTGTTTTAATATCAGCATATGTATGAGAAAAGATATTTCAGAATAACTAAGAACTGGACAAAGAGAACAAATGGACTTTGGTCTCAAGAATAAAAGAGGATTTTGATTCAACCAGATTTCTGTTGAAATGAGGAATATACCTTTAAGCAATTAGTTCAGAACTTAAGAAGTGCTATGCTGGATCACACTAAAAAAAAAAAAAAGAGAGCTGAAAGGGAAGTTATAGATCATAGGGTCCAGTCCCTGTCAAAGAGGCATAGTGGGGAAAGAAGTGCTATGCTGGATCACACTTAAAAAAAGAGCTGAAAAGTCACAGATCATAGGGTCCAGTACATGTCAACCTCTGGCTCTGCAGCCAGATACCTAAACCACTTAGCTATCTAGCTACATATTCTACAATTACCCAGCCCAGAATAGTCCCTTCCCAGTCACTCAAAGCACAGACCGTATTCTACAATTACCCAGCCCAGAATAGTCCCTTCCCAGTCACTCAAAGCACAGACAGCATCCAAGGTTGCAAACAAAACTCCAATAATTTTATGTATGCTGTGTAGATGAAAGGAATCAGCACGTTATTGCTTCATTAAATTTTACTGCTACTGACCTGTTCTGAATATTGCAAATTAAACACTTTTTTTCATCCAAGTGGCCAATCTTGCAATATAGGATTTCTTTCAGTACTAAAATAAAATTAATAAGCAGCATAAAGAGAGAAAGGAAGTTATCCAGCACAGTGCAAAAAGATTCACAAGGAGTTGTGCCAACAGTTGCAATGAAGCAAGCCAGACAACAGCTAGAGTGGAGGTAGCACAGGTCCTAAAGCAAGTATGCTCAGAAACTAGTGAAGACTTTTCAGTGTGCCTACTATGCTATAGTTAGGAGGGCAGAAAGTTTGGCTTTGCTAATGTCATTTCATCCTCCATCTACTGCTCAGCAAATTTCTTCTGAGTGGTTAAGAGCTTGCAGGGCTCAGATTCAAAGAAGGTAGGAGCGGAACCCTCAGTTACCTGCTGTGGTAAGTTTGCTAGGCACTTCAAGGAGAAAGTTACTCATATTCACTTGGAATATGATGCCACAAATGTTACCGTGTCTAGAGATGTATGCAATATAGGTAAAGGTAAAGGTTCCCCTTGACAATTGTCCAGTCATGACCAACTCTAGGGCACGGTGCTCATCCCCATTCCAAAGCCATAGAGCCAGTGTTTGTCCACAGACAGTTTCCGTGGTCACGTGCCCAGCATGACTAGACATGGAAGGCCGTTACCTTCCCACTGTAGTGGTACCTATTTATCTACCTGCATTTCTGCATGCTTTTGAACTGCTAGGTTGGCAGGAGCTGGGACAAGCAACGGGAGTTCACTCCATTGCATGGATTTGAACCGCTGGTCTTTCAACCTTGCAGCCCAGAGGCTTTTGCAGTTTAACCCACAGCACCACCACATCCCTCAATATACTATCTAGCAAAAATATTTTTGGGGGATCAGTTTCA